AAGTAGCTGGGACAACAGGCACGTTCTACCATGCCCGGCTAATTTTTTGAATTTTTAGTAGAGATGGGGTTTCACCGTGCTAGCCAGGATGGTCTCCATCTCTTGATCTCGTGATCCACCCACCTCGGCCTCCCAAAGTACTGGGATTACAGGCATGAGCCACTGGGCCCAGCCAATATTTCTTCTTCGTTCTCCTGAGGAATCGAAAGATTCTCATTTGTGGTATTTCAAAGGCACGTAAAGAAACGTAACTCCAAACTATTGACTCTTCATTCAAGTTTGGCTTTAATATTAAAAATTATAGAATTTGTAAATATTAAAACATTGAAACTTGCTACAAGAACGACAATGCACTAACAATGAAATCAAAGTAGAAGCTAAACTATTTAAAAGCAGTAGCAACTCCATGATTCCAAGGGAATTTAAACAGACAATTTCAGAGTGCTTCATGATGAAGGGGCAAAGCAGCCTCTCAGCCTGCAGTGATGAGGCGACACCGGCAGATGGCGCTGCAAAGTTTCCAAATGCCGCGAGAAGTCCATTTACCAATGGCTGTTGCCATCTCTTAATTAGCTTGAACTGAGTTTGTATTAGAATTCATAATTTTTACTGCTTTTTGCAGTTACTCGTATACTACGGACACTGGAACAGATGTGTTTTAACAACTGGTTGAGCCGTACCAGTGCGAGCCAGCTGAATGTCAGCGCTGTTCCCTCCTATAATGACAGACGCCACCGGCGCCCGCCTGAGGGCACTCCCCTCACCGGGATTCTCAGTACTGCGCCCACAGGTCCCCAAGGCTTGTTCCGGCACTAAGCCCCACCTTCCTGCATTCTCACCCTTCCCCTCCACTTGCTCTTTCTTCTTGACATCATGTTAACAGGCTCCAAACTCAAAAAGTTCCTCAATTGCCTATACTCTGCTCCTTCCACTTTTTTCTTTGATTGCAATCACGGCCAAACAACTTGAAAATTCTCTCCTCGACTCCACTGGCTTTACCCTTTTCCTCCAAATTATTCCTTAGCCCTCTGACATCTGGGGCCTCTGATTCTACCTCTCCAAAGAAACTGCTCCCACCAACAGCATGGAGGCCCCTCTCGTTGCTGGTGGATAGTCTTCATTCTGCACGCCACCACCTTACATCAGCAGTATGCCACACGGCCCTTCCTTCCTTCCTCCTCTAGCTTCATCCCACCATGTTACTAGGTTTTTGTTTTGTTTTGTTTTGTTTTGTTTTTTTGAGACGGAGTTTCACTCTTGTTACCCAGGCTGGAGTGCAATGGCGCGATCTCGGCTCACCGCAACCTCCTGGGTTCAGGCAATTCTCCTGCCTCAGCCTCCTGAGTAGCTGGAATTACAGGCACGTGCCACCATGCCCAGCTAATTTTTTTATATTTTTAGTAGAGACGGGGTTTCACCATGTTGACCAGGATGGTCTCGATCTCTCGACCTCGTGATCCACCCGCCTCGGCCTCCCAAAGTGCTGGGATTACAGGCTTGAGCCACCGCGCCCGGCCTGTTACTAGGTTTTTCCTGTCTCACTGGCTCCTTTCCCTGCTCTCCCCTTTGTTTCCTGCTTTCTTCCTCAGCCTTCTCTGCTCCCCACACCTATATGTTGATGATGCCCAAATCTCTGTCTCCAGCCACGACCTCTCTTTCCCCAAACTCTATTTGCATAAACTGTCTCAGATGAGATCTAGGGTGCTCACGGTGGTATGGCTATAGACAACTGTCTCAGGAAACAAACCCATGACCCACCCGGTTGCCAAGTGAGAAACAGGATGTATACTCTTGACTTGTCCCTCTCCCCTACACAGCGAAACAATCCCAAGATAGAATCCCAATTCTAACTCCTAAGCAACCCATAAAACGATTTCTCTTCTTTCCATCTTCCATTACTCTAATTCTGGTGTCCATTCTCTCTCCCTGTGATGGCTGCAAAAGCCTCTGATTTCTCCCTTTTCCAAACCAGTCTCCAAACTGCAACTACAGATCTTTCTAAGGCACAATTCTCACCTTTTCAGTCTTAGGCTTAAACTTCGGTGTCCCTCTGGATAAAGTCTAATCTTTAACACAGCTGACAAGGCCCAGCAAGAGCTGGACCAAGCCCACCTCTCCAGCTTCACCTTTCCTCATTTCTCCTTCGCACCCACTGCCCCTGAACAAGTTACAATCTTCCAAGTTGTCATATTCCTTGACCTTTGCTGTCTCCTCTGCCTGGAATGCTATTCCCCTCTCTGTCTGGCTAACTCCTGCCCAGTCTTTTTTTTTTTTTTTTTTTAAGTGGGGTTTCTCCATGTTGGTCAGGCTGGTCTCGAACTCCCGACCTCAGGTGATCCACCTACCTCTGCCTCCCAAAGTGCTGGGATTACAGGCGTGAGCCACCGCGTCTGGCCTCCTGCCCAGTCTTTAGGCCTCAGCATGGACATCTGTTCCTCTAGGAAGATTCCCCTGATTCACCAAGACCAGCTTAACTGTGCCTACTGGCTGTTCCTGTAGCAATTCTTCACCATAGACTACTGATTATTATTAGTTTTTTGTTTGTTTGTTTTTTTTTTTTGGCAGTCTGACATAACTTGATTTACTAATGCAGCTTCTAGCCCTGTTCCCCACTTCTCCCTGATCAGAATCCCAAGATCCCTCCTATATGGAGCCACCACTACCCCACAGGATCCTGTACCAACCTTCTCCCAGAACTTATCACACTTATTTTTATAATTGTTTCTATTCTCCAATAAACTGTGAGTTCCACAAAGAACCATTTCTATCTCACTTACCACTTGGAAGTAATGGCAGATAGTAATTGCTCAACAAATGTTCTATGAGTGAATGAATCCTTGGGATAATTATGGTACTAACCACCTTATTTAGTTTTGACAGTTGAATAGATATACATAAAATAATGCTTTTATAGTTTACACACTGCTATAGAACTATTATATTATTCTATTCCTACCCTCTATTCCTTGAGGGTAAGATCTTGCCATTAAATTTTGGTTATTGTTGCAGAACTCAGGGAGACATGTCTGGCATGTTGTTTTTTTGTTTGTTTGAGAGGGAGTCCTGCTCCGTTACACCCAGGCTGGAGTGCAATGGCACAATCTCTGCTCACTGCAACCTCTGCCTCCGGGGTTCAAGCAATTCTCCTGCCTCAGCTTCCCAAGTAACTGAGATTACAGGAATGTGCCACCAAACCCAGTTAATACTTGTATTTTTTTTTTTTTAAGTAAAAATGGGGTTTCACCATGCTGGCCTGGCTGGTCTCGAACTCCCAACCTCAAGCGATCTGCTGACCTGGGCCTCCCAAAGTGCTGGGATTACAGGCGTAAGCCAACATGCCCGGCCATGGCATATGTTTTCAACCAATTTTTGTTGACTGCATCAATGATTATAATAAATGAACAAGACCCAGATAATTGAACCATCCTAGACCACACAGTTACCTTGTTCCAGAACCAGGACTAGAATCTGGTCTGGAAAAAGGGAAGCTTGGAAGTTGACTTCTAAATGAAATTCCAGCATGGATGAGAGCAGCTCTGGTTTTTCTCCATCAAGAGACTCATCAGCTATGGAAGCTGCCAAAGCCCCAGACCTCCAAGATCAAGCGTTCACATAATAGAGACGTGACCCAGACAAGAGGGTGTGAAGACAAGGGTATTTCAGAATGGGAGACTGGGCCCTTGGTTTCCTGTGTCTTTGCAGTCAGTTCTAACCTCAGCCTCAGGCACTGGTGTTGGGGCCCTATTCATCCTGATCTGCAGGTCCCTCAGTTATTTTCCTGTTGCTATTACACTATGGAGTCAGCACGTGAGAAGAGGCCTGGGAAGAGGTTTTACAGTCTAGCCCAGTGGGGATGTCAGAGTTGCCTCCTGCCAAGTCTTCAGCATAAAAATCCCCCCTCCTCAGCTGCCTGTCCGGCTCGGCTCCCAGTTAACTCTTCATCCCCAACCCTAGACTCTCCCAAATGCCCAATGAAACTCTTCAGGTGGAAAAAGATAAAAGCAAGCGAAGAGAAGCAGTGCAAGAAACAGAGGTCCAAACAGAATTCTGATTTTTCTCCTTTCTCTCCACATTTTAAGGAAATGATTCCAATGTTCTCCCCCCACCTCCTGCAGCAGAGAAGTCCCCTGAGCATCTGTGGACATCATGAACCCTCAAAGTAAGCTTAACTTGGGCCCCTTTTCCTTTTCTATCAGTGAGGCTAAAGAGCCCCAGAAGGAAGACAGGTGGATTTTCCTCTCAGCTGGGACCACTTCTCTTTTCTATCACATTTTGGGAAACCTTCAAACATTCACATGCTGCTAGTATTTAAACTTTGCACTGGAGTGAATTCCAGGGGTTATGTCCTCACTGGAACCAACGGAGATAAGCCTAAAGGAATATATGGGCAAACACCTCAGCCTTTTTTTTCTTTTTCGAAGCTTCTTTAAACATACTTTCCTTTGCTCCTTGGTTAACAGGACCTCTGCCCGCGTTAGAGAAACTGCCCAGTGACTCCGATCCTGAAAGGGATGCTTAGCTGAAGCAAAGCGGAGTCTGATACTTCTCACTCCTCCATCTAGTGGTCAAGCTATCAAACTACGATTTTTGCTATCATCCAACCCAGACAACACTGGCAGTCAGTAAAACAAAGCTAGCTCGTTCTCCCATCTCTCAAAAGAATTAAATCTAGGAGTCAAGCTGCTGGCTTAACAAAGGAATGTACAGCAAGGCCTAAGGTGCCCCGACGCATGAGAGAATTGATTTCTGCTACAATGCTGAGATGAAATCCTAAAATGATTCTGGCCATTGAGCTAGCTTCTAGCGCAAACCCTGCACTGGGTCATCTTTGTTCCACCCCCAAATCAGAGTAAATGGAATTCAGAAGGCTGGTTCTGTGACCGCCTCTATGTACCTCACATACTCATAGTAGCCAGGCTCTTAAATAATGAAACTTAACACTGTACTTAAAGGCCTGTTCTGATCAAATCATAAATGTGCACGCTAGTGTTCTCCAGTAATTAAAACTCTACTCGTACACATTTAATCAAGATATTCACAAGTGTTTTGCCCTAACTAAGAATTTATATTAACACGAAGTCCTAGAATTATACTGCATAAACCCCCAGGATTTGGAGAACATCATTCACCCTTCTTAACCAAAAACCTTGGTGCCTGAAGATGGGGTTTTGATCATGGCCAGGCTGCAAATTTAGGTTAGGCTCTGGTGGTACATCCTTATATGCTCGGTCAAGACACACAATAGACCCTCAATAAATATTTGCTGAATTTGAACGATTCCTGTAAAAATCTCACTTAGAGACATCAGCTTGGGACACCTCCTCTCTTAATGTTCCTTCTCACAGAAGCTCCTGGAATGACCAGGTCTGGCAGGAGGGGGCACACAGGGCTGCTGCTCAAATCAGAGAATGGAACAAACTCCAAAAGGAACTGGAGTTAATCTCCCCTCCCCATGTAGATAATGGGATTCCTAAGGTGCAGAGTGGGAGAGTGGGTAGAGGAAGCAGGTTTCAGAGACTGAGAACCTACTAAATAAACTCCTAAAAGAACTTTCCCTTGTAAAGAGAATGCATGAAAAAAGAAGGGAGATGAGGAGAGAAGCCTCCCACAGCTGTTAGCCTGGAACAGCCGCTCTCACCTCAGTTCATCTGGGGAAGGGGCTACAAAGCAAACAATCTTTATTCACAAGTGGGGCAGCAGAGGGGAGTTACCCCCAGGTCAGTCCAAAAGCAAAGATATTGGGTGGAAAGATGGCACTGGGCAAGGAACTCAGCACTCATCCTCACCCAGCAGGGCATAAGGGTTTCGGCCAGCCAGGCTGGACCCTGGAGCTGAGGTTGGGGTGTCCTCATCCCCTTCTCCCTCCTCATCCGCATCCCGGTCCTCCTCTCCCTCCTCCTCACAGGAGCTGCTCAGCTCTTCCTCTTCCTCCTCCTCCTCGTCACCTGCTGGCCCCACCCTGCCCTGCAAAACCACCAGCTCCGTGGTCTCTGGATGGGACTCCCAGGTGCCTGGGGAACCAAAACAAGAAAAGAATGAAGGAGAGTTTTGAGCAAAGAACTAAAGCCAGAGAAAGACGGGGAAGAGGCAAAGAGTAGGAATAACAATAATCTTTATAGCTGCTTACATTCATTCATTCATCCATTCACTCAACTCCCTATATGCAGACTGCTGAACAGAAGCTTTGTGCACATCAATTTCAATCTTTACAGTCACCATGCTAAGGGTCAATTATTACCCTCAGTTTGCAGATCAGGAAATCGCCTCAGACGTTAAGTAACAGGGTTAGCCAACAGGTACAGAATCCAGGTTTCACCCTCTCTCTCTCTGGCCACAAAGCCCACACCTTTTACCTACACCATAGCAGGGGACTGGGGAAGAATATCTGGGCTCTGACCTTTCTGTTCACTGTAGCCTGGGGGATGAAAACACAGGCTGAGGCGGCCGTCCACTGCCAGCCGCAAGAGACTATTGGCTGCTCTGTACACATCATTCCGAGCGGCCTTGGCTGTCTTGTAACCACGTTTCTCTGCCCAGGCTGGAGGGAGGAAAGAATGGATGGAAAGGGAAGGCATTAACCAGGTACCAGTTATCATACTCCCACTCCCATAACACAGTCCTTCCAAGTTTTCCCCAAAACATTCCAGGCCAGAGATCTTACTGGCTTTGCAACAAAAATCTAGGGGTGAGTGGACAGCAGCTTCATCAATGGCAGAATCTCTGAGGAGAGGAAAGGAGACAGGGTAGGGTAAAAGGCGAGGCCAGAAGGCTGGCAGGTAAGGAAGAGCAGCTGAAACCAGGTGGGGCGAAGCCAGGCACATGGAACTCACCTTCACAGATGTCCCAGGCACACCAGGGGTGTTCCATTGAGGGGTCCTCAGCCTCTGGGTGGCGCAGGTGGAGCAGGGCCTGCACGGGGATTCGGGAGGCCAGGTAGCCCACAGCGGTATAGGGCTCTTGGATCTGGGCAATGGGGTAGATCCCTGCCAGAACCTGAAGGGAATGAGCACTCAGTACCTTCCTCAATGTCCCACCTTCTCTCTTTCCCTTACCCACCCTCCCCGTCATACCTGCAACTGCCTAGGCAGAAGGGATGGAAAGATGAGGCCCGGGCAGTCACAAAGCTTCACGGATGGGGTAAGAAAGTAGGTCTGAAAGTATCGGGTATGGCCCGGGGTTCTGGAGACACTCACAACTTTCCGCCCCACCAGCCCATTGATCAGCGAGGACTTTCCCACATTAGGGAAACCTGAAGAAGGCAAGGAAAATTAATGTTTAACAGGTCTTTAACTCTATGATGGGACTGGGTGCTATACCTATAGGTAAAAGGGGAACTAAGACTCAGAAATTAAGGAAATGGTATTGCAGAATACAAATCACATTCTGAGCTGCCAGGGTTAAATCTTGGCCCCTCCACTTACCAGCTTTGTGATATCAAGGCAATTAACTTTCTGAGCCTCTGTTTCTTCATTTTACAGTGTGTACGCCTCCTACTTCAGGGTGGTCAGGATTAAATGAAATAACCAATAAAACTTGCGTGGGTCAGTGCCTGCAGTACAGTAAGTAGTACCCAGTACCAGTGAGCCACATCTCATAATAATAATTATGACTTGGCTGGGCACGGTGGCTCACGCCTGTAATCTCAGCACTGTGGGAGGCTGAGGTGGGTGGATTACCTGAGGTCAGGAGTTCAAGACCAGCCTGGCCAACATGGTGAAACCCCATCTCTACTAAAAATACAAAAATTAGCTGGGGGTGGTGGCAGGCGTCTGTAATCGCAGCTACTTGAGAGGCTGAGACAGGAGAATCGCTTGAACCCAGGAGGCAGAGGCTGTAGTGAGCCAAGATCATGCAATTGCACTCCAGCCTGGGCAACAAGAGCAAAACGCCATCTCAAAAATAATAATTATTATTATCAGGCCAAGCGTGGTGGCTCATGCCTGTAATCCCAGCACTTTGGAGGCTGAAGCAGGCGGATCACAAGGTCAGGAGTTCGAGACCAGCCTGGTCAACACAGTGAAACCTCATCTCTACTAAAAACACAAAAATTAGCTGGGTGTGGTGGCAGGTGCCTGTAATCCCAGCTACTCAAGAGGCTGAGGCAAGAGAATAGCCTGAACCCGGGAAGCAGAGGTTGTGATGAGCCAAAATCAAATCATACCATTATACTCCAGCCTGGGCAACAAGGGTGGAACCTCAAAAAAAAAAAAAAAAAAAAAAAACCTATTATGACTTGTCCAAGGAGACTGAAGGCTTTGGGGCTCAATGCTGCTCTGCTCACAACCACCACCATCTTCCTTCTGGCTGATTTCAGTGCCTTCATCTCACTTCCACAGAGCATCTCCTTTACCCCACCTCAGCCGTCCACTCCCGTGGTAATACCTGCATCCTGTCACTTCACAGCTCCAAAGCCTCAACTTCAAGCCCCCTCTCTGCCCTGACAACCCATTTTCCAGCAAACTTATTCTGGTTCCTCCATTCCAGTAAGTCTTTGACCCCTGACCTTAGCAGAGAAACACTATGCAATACCCAACTCATGTCCTCAATTTTCTTCTTAACTGACTCAGATTTCATGATCCAGCTCCACAGCCAGGCCCATTCACAGAACTGGAGCTCCCTAGTCCCACCTCTCCCCTCTATCTTACCCATCTGGCAAAGTCCCAACCCTGTAAAATCCAACTCTGTCCATTGAGCACCTGCTCCTGGGCAGCTGACTGTGGCTGAGAAAAGATATACCACTTTGCTGACTGCACCCCTTTACAACACATGGAAGTATCTAGGAAGAAGGGAGGGAATGAGGGAGAAAACAGTTCTCCTTTAACAACAATCACCAGACCCATTTCTCTGTCCACTTTGTAAGAAAACTCCTTAAAAGACTTATCTACCTTTTTTCACCACTTCTTCATACTATCTTCTTTGTAACTGTAAACTGTAACACATACAAAAACGCACAGAACTTACCTGTGCAGCTTGATGAACCCCATACCACTCAATGTGTGACAACACGTTCCATTTGTCCTTGTTTGTTTTTGTTTTTGTTTTTGTTTTGAGACAGAGTCTCACTCCCTCACCCAGGCTGGAGTGCGGTGATGCAATGTCGGCTCACTCCAACTGTAGCCTCCCAGGTTCAAGTGATTCTCATGCCTCAGACTCCTGAGTAGCAGGGACCACAGGCATGCAACTCCATACCCAGCTAATTTTTTGTATTTTTTTGTAGAGGTGAGGTTTTGCCATGTTGGTCAGGCTGGTCTCAAACTCCTGACCTCAAGCAATGCACCTGCCTCAGCCTCCCAAAGTACTGAGATTACACACATGAGCCACCACACCTGACCTCCACTCATCCTTCTTGATTACAATCCTCTCCCTCCACACATGTGAACTTCATCCTTTTAAGGGAATCCACTTCTTATGTTTCTCTTTAGTTTATGACCCATGTATCTCTCAACAATGCAGCTTAATTTTGCAGCTTTCAAACTTTATACAACTGAAATTGTGCAGTATGTATGCAATTGTGTCAGGTTCCTTTCACACATTATATAAGGTTGTTGCACCTCCTCTCATCGGCCTACTCCAGTTTGGCTTTCTCCACCCCACTGAAACCACTGATCTTCACATTACCAAGCCCGCTGAGCAGGTCTCTGTTCTCACTTGGCCTGTAGGCAACAGCTGACACAGCTGATCCCTCCTTTCCTCTTCAAACACCACCTTCACTTGACTTCTGGGACACTCCCTTGGTTTTCCTCCTTCTCACTCTCCTTTGCCCAGCTAAATGCAGCCTGTCCTGAAGCTCTGTCTTTGACCTCTTCTCTACCTGTTTCCTTTCTCTCCTACATCTCATCCAATCCCATGGCTTTTTTTTTTTTTTTTTTTTTTTGAGACGGAGTTTCGCTCTTGTTGCCCAGGCTGGAGTGCAATGGCGCAATCTCGGCTCACCGCAACCTCCGCCTCCTGGGTTCAGGCAATTCTCCTGCCTCAGCCTCCTAGGTAGCTGGGATTACAGGCACACGCCACCATGCCCAGCTAGTTTTTTGTATTTTTAGTAGAGATGGGGTTTCACCATGTTGACCAGGATGGTCTCGATCTCTCGACCTCGTGATCCACCCGCCTCGGCCTCCCAAAGTGCTGGGATTACAGGCTTGAGCCACCGCGCCCAGCCTTTTTTTTTTTTTTTTTTTTTTTAAGACAAAGTCTCACTCTGTCGCCCAGGCTGGAGTGCAGAGGCACGATCTCAGCTCACTGAAACCTCCACTTCCCAGGTTTAAGTAATTCTCGTGACTCAGCCTCCCAAGTAGCTGGGACTACTACAGACATGCACCACCACACCCAGCTAAGTTTTTGTTTTGGAAGAGACAGTTTCACCATGTTGGCCAGGTTGGTCTCGAACTCCTGGCCTCAAGTGATCCACCTGCCTTGGCTTCCCAAAGGGCTGGGATTATAGGCATAAGCCACTGCACTCAGCCTAATCCCACAGCTTTAAATACCACTTATATCCATCAATGGCTCCCCAAATTTAAATCTTTCCCAAATTCAAATTTCCAGTCCTCTTCTCTCCCCTAATCTTCTGACTACTTGCCCACTGCCTATTTGACATCTCCACTAGGGATATTTAAAAAGAATCTGAAATTTAATTTCTGATTCCCTTTGCTTCCCCAAAGCCTTCAAATCTGCTTCTCCCTTAGTCTTCCCATCTCAGTATCTGCAGTTGCTCAAGACAAAAACCTGGAAGTCCTTCTTTATCCTCATTTTCATGTGCCAATTGCAAGCCATCAGTGATCTCATTTTCTCTACCTTCAAAATACATCACGCTTCTGGTCCTGTCTCACCACCTCCAGCTCTAGCACCCTACTCTTAGCAACTCTTATTTCTCCCCTAGACTACTGAAACAGCCTCCGATTGCTCTCTCTGCTCCCTTTCTTGCCCACTCCCCACCATTTATTCTCTACTTAGCAAGTAAACTGCTAAGAAAGAAAATCAGATCCTGTCATTCCCCTTTTCAAAACCTACCCTTGGCTTCTCATGAGTCTTGGAATAAAATCCAAAATGCCTATCACAGCCTCAGGACTCTACATGATGTGGGCCCTGGCGATCTTGATGACCTCATCCCGAATACTCTATCCTGCCTCCCATACTCCAATCCCCTGGGCACTCTTGCTGGTGCCAGAATCTCCAAGCTCACTGCCACCTCAAAATCCTTTCTCCATAGCTCTGAATGGCTCACTTCATCCCATTATCCAGTTCTCTCCTCAGGGAGGTTTTCCCTGATCACCTCTCCCCTCAGCCACTCTTTATCCCCCTCTTTCATTGCTTTATTTTCTTCACTGCCCCTACATGATTTCAGATCACAAAATCTATTTACTCACAAAAAAATAAGCTCCATAAATGTACAGACCTTTTTGCCATTTTCACAGCAGTATGTCCCATTCCTAGAATATCTGACACCTGGTAAGTGTTCAGTACATATTTGTTGAATGGCTAAATGAATGAGAGCTGGAGGGAAATACAAACTCAGGGGTACCTGTGCCACAGCAAACACACTCCTTCTCATACCATGCAGAATAGAGACCAACTAGAGCAGAGGCTGCCAAGAGAGGGAACAGAGGCTCCTTGTGAGGGGGAGCCTAGGATCAGAAGTCAGGGAAGGGACAGCCTGGGTGAAATGACTGGAACAAGGAGCAATCACTCGGCAGTAAGGCAGGTTTTTCCAAAGACAAAAAGGATACAGAGATAAGTCAGAGCACATCCAAGGAGCCCAACTACGTACTCTACATTCCCCAGTTTCTTCTGGTTTGGGCCCTTTTTGGTTCCAGTATCACCTCAGATACCACAACCTGGCCGAGGTCTCTCCTCACCTCTCCTACCCAAAATGAAAATAGGCCCTGGGTCCTAATCATACATTCCTTTTTCCTCCACTGTGAGCTCAGATAAAGCCCTTAATTAAGGAGAGATTCTCCTTGACAACAAACTTAAAAGGGTTAAAACCTAGAAGGAAACTAATACTTGCTGAGCTCCTATTATGATTTGATGATCACTGTGCTACAGACTGATTACTACAATTCAAACAGTTAATATATATAAACCACTTAAAACAGTGCCTGGTACATAGTAAACACTATATAAATACTAAGTTTTAACAATAATAATTAATAATTGTTATTATTGTTACCACTATTTGTGAGGCATTCTTAGGCTCTCTCACTACTGTCCCTGTCGTTCTTCACATCCATTCTTTTTTTGTTGTTGTTTAAAAAACAGGGTCTCACTCTGTCAGCCAGGCTGGAGTACAGTGGCACAATCATAGTTCACTGCAGTCTTGAACTCCTGAGCTCAAGTGATCCTCCTGCCTCTGCCTCCAAAGTAGTTGGGACTATAAGCACACATCACCCCACTTGGCTAGTTTTTTTGTTTTGTTTTTTTTTTTTTAATCTTTTGTGAAGATGGGATTTCACTATGTTGCCCAGTCTAGTCTTGAGCTCCTGGTCTCAAGCTATCCTCCCACCTCAGCCTCCCAAAGCACTGGGACTACAGGCATGAGCCCTCATCCATGGCCCTGATCCATTCTTTTAATCAGGTATCAATGTCTTCATTTAAAAAATCAAAGTAATAGCCGGGCGCGGTGGCTCAAGCCTGTAATCCCAGCACTTTGGGAGGCTGAGGCGGGTGGATCACGAGGTCAAGAGATCGAGACCATCCTGGTCAACATGGTGAAACCCCGTCTCTACTAAAAATACAAAAAACTAGCTGGGCGTGGTGGCGCGTGCCTGTAATCCCAGCTACTTAGGAGGCTGAGGCAGGAGAATTGCCTGAGCCCAGGAGGCGGAGGTTGCGGTGAGCCGAGATCACGCCATTGCACTCCAGCTTGGGTAACAAGAGCGAAACTCCGTCTCAAAAAAAAAAAAAAAAAAATCAAAGTAACTAAGACTCAGAGTAGCAAAAGCACTTGCTCAAGACCTCACAGCTGAGAAGAGGTGGAATTTAACTCAGGCTGTCATGATCTTTCCACTACAGTAGATGCCTCTTCTGCCTTGCCCACAACCACTGGCAGAGATCACCCCTCAGACACCCTGGGACCTAATAAGACCTGACCAACCTCCCTCTTTTCCAAATACGAAAATTCTGTTCCTCCTTGGAGGCCACCATGCATGAGCTGCCACTTCCTTACCCACACAACCAATGGTCACCACCCCATCCTTGTAGCGTTCCCGGGTTGGGCCAGTTGGCTCCATCGCTGAATCAGTCTGCTGCTCCACCAGGACTGCTGGCCCATCCTCTTCTTCCTCCTCCTCCCCGGAGCCATTACCCCAGGTGGCCCCAGCCACATCCCGAGCAATCTTCTCCCGCCAGCTGCTCAAGTCCACTGCTCAAAGAAAGAGAAGATGAAGGAGGCTCTTCCCAGGGCTGCTATGTATGATGGCACATACTGTGCCCTGCACAGATGATGTAAGATGGCACCCTCTGGAGTTGTACGGTGCCAACCGGAACAAAAGTAGGCCAGAGAACTCTCCCAGTGGTCACTTGACCCCACCCTCCCTGAAATCATGCACATTTCTGTGTCTGAGTTTCTGAAAAGTACTGGGAAGGCTGAAGGCAGCAAGCCACTGAGGCTCCCTACTACCTGCTGCCTCTCATCCCACCAAGTCAATCTGCTCCTTATTCTTTCCCTTTCCCTGGCCTCTCGCACACATCCACCATAGAGGTTGAAAGGTGAGCAAAATGATTCTGCATCTTGGGTCTCCCCCATGGTCCCCCACAGCCCTCCTCTAAGGGCCACATACCTTTCCCCACAGTGATGGCTTCACAGGCTCTCAGCAACTGCTCTGGCCCCAGCGCCCGAGTCCATCCTCTCCCTCGCCTCCGACTCTTCTTCAAGACTGAGATCAGAGTGTACAAAAGGATTGGCACACAGGCTTAGGTCTCTCATCTCTCCCACCACCCTTATGCCCAAGACCAGGTGCCCCCTTGTCGACAAGCCTCTCTGTTCTCCCATTTGTCCCCTGCCAACTCACCTTTCCCTAGCTTCCCTCCTCATTGCCCACTCACCACTACTAGGGTCCTGTGGAGTGCGGGGGTCCCGAGGGAAAGAGGTGAAAAGGACGACATGGAGCTGGGGATAGTGTTGGTGGAAATAGTGTTTCCAGGCAACCACAAGAGCTGGCGGGGCCAGATCCACCTTGTTCAAAACCAGCACGAGGGCCAGCCCAAGTTCTCCAGTCACGTACTCATAAAGTGCTGGCGGGAAATTCACAACCTAGGACAGGGTTGGTAAGAGAATGGAGCAATGAGAGGTCAACCCAGAGTTCTCTGCCTCCAGCTGCCCACTCAGCAGGCATAGCTCAGAGAAAAGACCCTGGCAGTAGCAGATTCTGGGCTGAAAACTATGAACTACCCAAACTGAACAACGAAGACAAAACAGGGGTTAGTAACATTTCTGAGTCTCAGGGGGCTTCCTATAGGTCATGATTAGAAATGGAAATAAAACCAAAACAAGACAAGGAAACAGCATCCCTTAGCACACTGAGGTAAAGGCTGGGATCGGAAATAGGGATGGGGGTTAGGGTAGAAATTAGTCTGTTTTTGTGTGCATACAACTATGTAAATGTATACATACACACATATGCATGCATGCAAGTACGTGCCCATGTGTGCATGTCTGTGTGTTAAGAATGTGACTGTGAAAATGTGTGCAAACATGCCTATGTATATTGATGTGCACATGAATACATGTATGTGTTTGTGAGCATGTGTGTACATATCATTAAGGAGTCCCAACCTAAACATTCTCACAGACCTCTCTTTCTCCCACTAGAGGACAAGAGTGAAGTGGCAGAGCCAAGATTCACACAGGGCAGTCCAGCAGCAGTCTACAGCCTTAACTACTACTCTAGCATTCCAGGTAGGTTCAGTAGCAACTGATGTGGCTGTGCTAGAGAAATGAGATAAGGAAGAAAGGGCATCTTTGGGCTGGGCAGGAGGAAGCCCCCAACTGCATTCATAGAATCCCTTGAGCTCCACACTTGGATTTTCTGTTGGTCTAACTGTTGTGGGCTAAAAGACAGGACATGGTGTTTTGAAGAGAGAGTGAACTAGCCAAAGGGGGAGTGACAGGCTATGATAAGAGAGAATAAAAAACTGAGTTCCTAACTGCAGACATCAGCACTAGGTAGAGGTTGGAAAGACAGGAAGATGGATACCTGTCTTCCAACTCTTGCCTCTGACCTTTTCTCCCCAAAACCCTTTCTCTCTCCTCCCCCTTGCCCGCCCTTATCACTAGTACTCACTGGATGTCGGATATCAGTGATAAGCAGGACAATGTCAGACATCTCTAACACCCGCCACAGCTGCCTCCATGTCTAAGAAAACAAGATCCAGAAGAGAACCTCAACACAGAGTCTCTCTCTGCCTGACCCCAAACCAATTTGACCATGGGTCACTATGCCCCACTCCTGTCCCTACTCTGAGTCACCTCCAGATTGTGCTCAAAGTAGCTGAGTTTCTCAGAGGAGTAAGCCCCATGAATCTTCCCAAGATACTCTTGGAAGCTCCGTTCCTCTTGGCTCATTAGTTGCTCCTTGGACATCTCATAGCTCCAAGGAGGACGTCGAGGAAAGTCCAGAACTGGGAAATCAGGAAGAAGTCCAAGTGTGAGGAAATTTTCAGTATTCAACAGTACATCCCAGACCCCTCCTTCCTCACAGTCGGCTCTTACCTTTCCAAACTCCTTCCCAGCCCATGCCTGTCTTGCTCTCACTCACCTGAGCCAGGCTGATAGACCTCCCGGATGTCCAGCTCCAACACTTCAGCACTGACCGGCTGCAAAACTTGCTCACGGGCTGCTCTCTTTCTCCTTTCTACCTCCTCCCTGCTGTCTCTTTCAAAATGCAGTCGGTATCTAAGGGAACAGGGACCGAGACATCCAGCGCAATCCTGTGGTCACAAACTCCCATTTTCTCCCCTCTTGGACAATCAACTTCGCAAAGCATTCTCTCCAGAGTTGTTGAAGCCTCCTGTCTCAAGTCAGCCTTCCCCTAAGTTCCTCTTTCAGGCAATATTCAGCCTCCTCCTTTTAAAAGGCAAATTCTCTGCAGCCTCTCTGGAAAGGAAGATTGTGGCCTGCTCTGGGGAGCCGAGCGGCCAGCGGAGAACTGCGGCATCCTAGGCCCACCGTCTTCACCAGTAGCAGCCCGCTTTCCCCCAAAGCTCTGATTTCCGGGTAGGCGGGAAAGTCGTAACCAGTGCCCCCTCCCACCCTCACCGATTTGGGTCGTAGCCTCGCGGACCCAGCCCCTGAGAAGGCTGCTGGTTAAGCCTGCGGATATGATGGGTCACAGACTCCCCGTCGGAGGTGTCGGTCTGTTCCTCCCGCCGCTCCCGGCTCCCGCTGCGGCTGTTGGAACTGGAGCGTAGCCCATCTTGAAGCCCTGCGGGGAGGGGCCGGTGACGCCAGGGCTGGCCAGCTCTCACGCGCCGCCGTTAAGACCCTCTCCCGCGTCGGCCTGACTCTCCTTCATCCCACTCAACTTCTTTGGAGGCTCCGTCCTCCCAGCCACCCAGTTCGGGACCCTCCCGGATGTGCGTGGGGGGTAGTTACTCCTCCAGGGAGCAGTGCGGACCGTGCCCTGTGCGAGCTGAAGGGATTCCCCTCCCCCAATTCTCCATCTTTCCCCACCCCTTCCAGATGTAAGGGGGGTGGGGTGGGGAATCCCCTCCGCGAAAGGCCCCGAGGGTCGGCGCTCTCCCGCGATCCCCTCCCACGCCCCCGAGAGGTGCAGCGATCACACCCCTCCTTCCAGATGTGCGGGAGCCTGAGCCCCGCCCCCTCCTCCCGCTCCCGCACTGACCTCTCTTCCGCTCCCGCTTGTCCTGCAACTGCTTCTTCTTCTGCTTCACGCTGAAGGGCTTCTTCCTCGGCATGGCCCGGACCAGTCACCTGGCCCGCCCTCCACCGAGCTCCCGCCGCCTCAACTGACTGCCCCCCGGGGCAGCCCCCGCCGCAGGGGCCCGGGACCCTAGGGGAGGCGGGGCTAGCAGATGACGTCAGCGGGCGGGCCCGACTGAATTGCCGCGGCGGCTGCGATGGAAGGCGAACGAGGGAGATATACAGTCACTTCCCTCCAGGAGCTAGGCGAGAGGATGATGCGGGGTGGGCTACTGGCACGTGAGAGCCACTAGCACCGAGAGGGCGCCCCGGCGGCGAAGAAGGAGGCGCGCGTGGGAGGACCGGGCTAACTCCGTCACGGACGCTACCAACTCGCGTTCGGAGAAGGGGGAACGCGTGTCATCACTACCTTGCGCTCCCGGGAGAAGCTACCACTCACCTGGAGGGGGCGGTGGAGTGGAGGGCGGGGCTTATACCTAGGGGAGAGGGGGCGTGGACTCACTGAGACTAAAACCAACCCTCGGGCTTGACCTTAGTGGAAAACCGAGACTGCGTCTCGGGTAGGCAGCCAGGTTGCTGGGCTACACTAGGGGCACGGTCAGAGGTCTTTAGGGGAGGGCGGTGGTCTGAAGAGTCCTGGGTGCCGACCTGCTGGGACCCAAATTCCTTGTGAGAACGATGATAAGGAGCAGGTTTACAGATAAGTGCAAAAGGGGACAAGAAGGGAAACCCAAGCGGGACAAGGACTTTGGAGGGAGGTCAGAGGGCACGAAGTTGTGCCTGCAGCTGTTACCATAGTAACCGGGGACCGGATGTGGCGATCTTACGGTGCGACAGTCCTCTTCTCAGGCCTTCTGGCCCGAGAGCCTCTTGACTCTGTGGCACACTCTGAGGAGCTGGTTGTGGTGGTTTCCAACGAGGGAAGAAGAGAGGAATTTTTTTCAAAGCAGTTACAGAAATGCAGCAAAGGGAAGCTGTGAGGTTGCCACCATGCCTGGCAGAGACGGACTGAGGCAGTTTACTCCAGAATGCGGCCGCTGCAGATGTTCCCCGCAACCTTCCGGAAGTGGAATGGCGGGAGCCTCATCCTCGCTGCCCACCGCCCCCCCGGAAGCGGAAACAGAATCCCCCACGTGCCCCTTCCTCACTGCCCTCCAAATCCCGCTGCAGCCATTGCCGCAGCCACGATGCCGAAACGAAAGAAGCAGAATCCGCACCAGCCACCACCACAGCAGCAGCCCCCACTGCCCGAGCGGGAAGAGACTGGAGATGAGGAGGATGGGAGTCCCATCGGTGAGGGGTCGGGGAGGGATGTGCACATGCCTGTCAGCCCGTCCGGGCGAGGGGCTAGGGGCTGCTAAGGTGCAAAGGAGGGGGCTGTAACGGAAGGAGGAAGGGCGCACGCGCTGGGGAGGAATGGAAGGGGGCTGTCCCAAATGGAGCCTTGAACGAGGAGTTCTCTTACTGGAACCATCAACCTCAAACTGGCCCCAAACCTTTCTGGAGAAGGCGGGGGTGGTGAGAATAAAGAGCTCTTTTGCGCAGTCGCAGAACAGTAGGGGAAAGGGGCAGTAGAGATGTTGCAGATTGTGATGACTGGGATGACAGCTTGTATGCCGACTGACTGAAAAGGTGCAGGTGCAGCTTTCTCTGAACTAGTCCTCTGGCCAAGGGGAAGGAGAAGAGAATTGACTGGCCAGCAGTTGAGGGATCGGTTTATGTCTGGAGACACTTGGGTTGTTTTGGATAGCAACGGTACGGTGAGGAAAAGAAAAAGTTTTATCTTCTCCTGCATTATCCCCTTTGATTGAATATCTACTTTTTGCAAACCCTGAAACAGCTTTGCAGAAAAAAGCGCAGGTAGATGGGTGAGAACTCCTAGGACTGCTAAAAATATACCTGACTTTACTAGTTGAATTAAGAAATGAGTAATACAAGAAAAACACCTAAGAACAGAATCATCAGTCCCTTAATCCATTCTGATGACCATATTTTCATGTCTGCTCTTAGGACCACCCAGCCTTCTGGGCCCTCCCCCCATGGCCAATGGAAAACCTGGTGACCCTAAGTCAGGTGAGGAGGAAGGGGCCCTGATCCTTGTATTAGGTTGTGGAGAAGAGAGCAAGGGAGGGGATAAAACCCAGAAAGGACTTAAACATCAAAAGATCAGGGATTCCATACCAAAATGAATGGAGAGAAGTTGTATATTTGCTGATTGGAAAACTCAATGTTGTAAAAATGTCACTTCTTCCCAACCTGATGTACAGATTTCATGCATTCCAAGCCAGAACATCTACAGTGTTTTTGTAAAAATACACATTTTTATAGGGATATGCAAAATATCAAGGTGAGAGACTGTCAAGACAAGTGGGAAGGCTTGCTATGAATATCAAGATTTATAAGCTGGGCATGGTATCACAGGCCTATAGTCCTAGCTAGTCAGGAGGCTGAAGTGGGAGGATCATTTGAGGCCAGCCTGAGCTACATAGTGAGATCCTGTCTCTAAAAACAACAACAAGGAAAAAAGACTGACTATAAAGCTGTAGTAGTTACAACGATGCAGTTTGGATACAATTATACACATAAGTCAACAGGACTTATGTCCTGAAGACTCCAGTAACAGACCCGGACATGTGTGGACACTTCCTTTATGATGAAGATGGAACTGAAAAGTTGGTCTTTTCAATAAACGATACTGGATCACTTGGATATTCATGTGAAAAAAAATGGAATTTCACCTTACACTCATAATCATATACAAAGATCTATTTCAAATGGACTGTAGATTTAAGTATAAAAGGTAAGAGAGGCCAGGCACGGTGGCTCACACCTGTAATCCCAGCACTTTGGCAGGCCGAGGCGGGTGGATCACCTGAGGTTGGGAGTTTGAGACCAGCCCGACCAACATGGAGAAACCCTGTCTCTACTAAAAATACAAAATTAGCTGGGCATGGTGGCACATATTGCCAGCTACTCAGGAGGCTGAGGCAGGAGAATCGCTTGAAACCGGGAGGCAGAGGTTGCAGTGAGCCAAGATTGCACCACTTGCACTCCAGCCTGGGCAACAAGAGCAAAACTCCGTCTCTAAAAAAATTAATAAATAAAAGGTAAGAGAATAGTTATTCTAGAAAGTAAATGGGCTGGGTGAGTGGCTCATGCCTGTAATCCTAGCACTTTGGGAGGCTGAAGTGAGTGGATCACCTGAGGTTAGGAGTTCAAGACCACCAGCCTAGCCAACTTGGTGAAACCCCATCTTTAAAAAAAAAAAAAAAAAAGTAAATGTATTTTCATGCTCTAAGAGTATGCAGACAAGAAATGCACATATACATACTAACCATAAAGGAAAGATTGATAAATTGAACCGTTAGAAAATATAAACTTGCTAAATGACACCATTAAGAAATCAACAGGAAGCCTTACAGTAGAAGATATCTGCAACAAATATAACCAATAGGCCAGGCGTGGTGGCTCACACTTGTAATCCAAGCACTTTGGAGGCCAAAATGGGCAGATCACCTGAGGTCAGGAGTTCAAGACCAGCCTGACCAACATGGTGAAACCCTGTCTTTTTAAAAAATATATATATATATATGCCGGGCACGGTGGCTCAAGCCTGTAATCCCAGCACTTTGGGAGGCCAAGGTGGGTGGATCACGAGGTCGAGAGATCAAGACCATCCTGGTAAACATGGTGAAACCCCGTCTCTACTAAAAATACAAAAAATTAGCTGGGCATGGTGGTGCATGCCTGTAATCCCAGCTACTCAGGAGGCTGAGGCAGGAGAATTGCCTGAACCCAGGAGGCGGAGGTTGCGGTGAGCGAGATCGCGCCATCGCACTCCAGCCTGGGTAACAAGAGCGAAACTCCGTCTCAAAAAAAAAAAAAAAAAAAAATATATATATATATATAAAACTATATATATATATATAACTATATATATATAAAACTATATATATATAACTATAATACATAAAGAACTTTTCCAGACAAGCTATTTGAAAAACTGACAAAAGACCAGAACAGGTACCTTATGGCCAGGTGTGGTGGCTCATGCCTGTAATCCCAGCACTTTGGGAGGCCAAGGAGGGTGGATCATCTGAGGTCAGGAGTTCAAGACCAGCCTGGCTAACACAGTGAAACCCCGTCTCTGCTGGAAATACAAAAATTAGCCTTGGGGCCGGGCGCGGTGGCTCACGCCTATAATCCCAGCACTTTGGGAGGCCGAGGTGGGTGGATCATGAGGTCAAGAGATCGAGACCATCCTGGTCAACAAGGTGAAACCCCATCTCTACTAAAAATACAAAAATTAGCTGGGCATGGTGGCGCGCGCCTGTAGTCCTAGCTACTCGGGAGGCTGAGGTAGGAGAATTGCTTCAACTCAGGAGGCGGAGATTGCGGTGAGCCGACATCGTGCTATTGCACTCCAGCCTGGGTAACGAGCGAAACTCCATCTCAAAAAAAAATTAGCCTTGAACCCAGGAGAGAGAGGTTACTTTTTTTTATTTATTTTATTTTATATTTTTATTTATGCCTGTAATCCCAGCTACTTGGGGGACTGAGGTAGGAGAATCACTTGAACCCAGGAGGTGGAGGTTGCAGGAGGTGGAGATCATGCCATTGCACTCCAGCCTGGGCAACAAGAGTGAAACGCTGTCTCAAAAAAGAAAGAAAGAAATTAGAACTCTTGTGTACCGCTGCTGGGATTATAAAATGGTAAAACTACTATAGAAAACAGTATGAAGATGTTCCTCTTAAACAATTAAAAATAGAACGACCATATGACAAAAAATTAAAAATAGAAACTACTCGGAACTCCTGCTTCTGGTATATGTCCAAAAAAAAAAATGGAAAACAGGGTCTTGAGATTTGCAGACTCATGTTCATAGCAGCAACCCACATGTCCATTGATGAAAAAAAATGTGGTGTTTTCATACAATGGAATATTATTCAGCCTTATGATGGAAGAAAATGCTGTCATATACTACAACATGGATGAGCTTTGAGGACTTTATGTTAAGTAAAGACATAGTGTATGATTCCACTTATCTGAGGAGTCTGAAGTCAAATTCAGGGACCAGGCATGGTGGTTCACATCTGTAATCCCGGCACTTTGGGAGGGCGAGGCAGGTGGATCACTGAAGGTCAGGAGTTAGAGAGCAACCTGGCCAACATGGCGAAACCCGATCTCTACTAAAAATACAAAAATTAGCCCAGCATGGTGGTGCATGCCTGTAATCCCAGCTACTCAGGTGGCTGAGGCACGAGAATTGCTTGAACCTGGGAAGCGGAGGTTGCAGTGAGCCGAGATAACACCACTGCACTCCAGCCTGGGCGTCAGAGCAAGACTCTGTCTCAAAAAAAAATTATAAAAATAAAGTCGGCCGGGCGTGGTGGCTCAAGCCTGTAATCCCAGCACTTTGGGAGGCCAAGGTGGGTGAATCACGAGGTCAAGAGATCGAGACCATCCTGGTCAACATGGTGAAACCCCGTCTCTACTAAAAATACAAAAAATTAGCTGGGCATGGTGGTGTGTGCCTGTAGTCCCAGCTACTCAGGAGGCTGAGGCAGGAGAATTGCCTGAACCCAGGAGGCGGAGGTTGCCGTGAGCCGAGATTGCGCCATTGCACTCTAGCCTGGGTAACAAGAGCGAAACTCTGTCTCAAAAAAAATAAAATAAAATAAAGTCAAATTCGGAGCCTGGCGTGGTGGCTCAAGCCTGTAATCCCAGCACTTTGAGAGGCCGAGGCAGGTGGATCACGAGGTCAAGAGATCGAGACCATCCTGGTCAACATGGTGAAACCCCGTCTCTACTAAAAAATACAAAAAATTAGCTGGGCATGGTGGCACGTGCCTGTAATCCCAGCTACTCAGGAGGCTGAGGCAGGAGAATTGCCTGAACTCAGGAGGCGGAGGTTGCGGTGAGCCGAGATCGCGCCATTGCACTCCAGCCTGGGTAACAAGAGCGAAACTCCGTCTCAAAAAAAAATAAAATAAATAAAGTCAAATTCAAAGAAACAGTAGAATGGTGGTTACTAGAGGCTGGGGGAAGGAAGATGGAAGAAGGGGAGTTTTGTTTAATGGGTACAGAGTTT